ACCTATGCCAATGAGGTATAAAAACAGAGATATGCCAAAATTAATTTAAATTTAAAAGTAGCAGGATTTTGACTGGCACTAATGACCTAGTATTTCAGTAATAATGGGGAAAGGATAAATATGGAACTTTTAATGAGTACGATTAAGGAAAAGTAGTCCATTAAGCCTGCACATGCTCGATAAAACCTTTTGAGAAAGGCAAAGTGGAATTCAATGGAAATGAGGCCTACTCATATCAATCTAGGAAAATTCAAATATCAGTACTCCATCACCTTATGCGACCTAGGGTGATTGGAGCTATTACTCGAGATTTAATGATAGGTCTGAAACCTGCGAATGAAAGCTGAGTAGACCTTAGATATAGTGAGTGACGGTAGAGGACTCTTCATACATTCGAGATTGATCTGAAAAATAACTCCCAAAATATGATTTAAAAGAACTTATAGATATTGATATCGGGGTAATTAATATAAATGAATCTTAGAAATGGAATTTTCAGAGAAGCTGTTCTAATATTTAGCTAAAAGCATGAGAGAAGAAGCCAATGGCTATAATTTATCACCTCTATAGAATGGTCTAAAGTCGACCTAATGCGAATAAGTGCATAACGTAAAGATTGTTGTAAGGGTATTTAGAAAAATGCATGATATTTAACGATACATAGAGGTATTTGAGTCAGCGTCCCATTCAAAAAATAATAAAACAAATGTAAGCCAGGAAAAAGTCATATCAAGTCATACCAGTGATTCCTGATGGAAGAGTTGCAAACTGAGGTGCAGGATGAGCAGTGGCCATAGGACCAGTCTGTATGAAATGAGGCTGAAGATGACCCAGGCCAGTAGCTGTAGTGGTCGAGGTAGTAACGGAGGGATTTTGTAGGGGCAGGGTCAAATTCCCACTAGCATTCATTCCAAGTCCAACAGCCCCTGGCCGTAACACCGTGTTGAGAGGCAAGCGTAAACCCGCCCCAGAGGAGAGGTGTCCTTGATGCTGGACAATGTTTGCTGTATTTGCTGGTCCTGTTGGTGCTGACGCGGATAAACCCATAGCGCCTCCGAGTGGAGCGACTACTCCTTGGTTAAGACCAACTCCGGTTGCAAGGGGGAGGTGTGAAGCAGTGCCATTGTTGACACGACGTTGTTGCATTAAAGATGAAAATTGGGCCTGTGAAACATTGATACCAGAACCAATACAAGGCTGGACAAGGGGAGCTACTGTAAGTATCGGTTTCGCGGTAGCAATTTGCCCAGATAGAAGGGGACCGGTGGAAGTAGGAAGTTGGCGCACACCACTTGAAGTTGGAACAAATGAACGAATCTAAAAATGGGAAATTCAGACTGAAATGATTCTATGTAAGAAATAAGTTGAATTTAAAAAAGGAGTTAAGCAGGACCGAGAAGCACCTTCTTATTGAGACACATATTTTTAAGCTTGCTGAGGAGACATATGACGAAAATATGTCATATCAATGATAGGAAACAAAAGCAAAGCAGAAATTCGAACTATTGGTTGTGATCGGCGCGAACTAAGGGACTAGGATAAACTAGTAAAAATAAATAAGGATGCGTAAAAAACAGATCTAAATAAAGGGTCAATAGTTACAAAATGTTATTACAAGAAATAAAATGAGAAAAATAGCATACATGAGGTTGAGCACGCTGAATGATCCCAGCATAGTGTGCCGCAGTATTTGTAACAGGCTCCGTATCCAATACATGAGTATCCACTACTTTAGATCTCCATAACTGAATGAAAATATATGGCAACAAATCGAACCTTTTGCAATTGAACTAAAATTTGCGTATCCAGGCCCTCATCGGCAAACTCTTCCTTCATGCCGTTTATTACATCCTCAATTACGTCATCATAAAACTTCGCCTAAAAAAATAGGTGATATAATTTGTAAAAAATAAGCGTACGACATTAGTCATATCAAAAACCACTCAGAAAGTGGAGAGCCTCAAGGCAGAGTATTCGGCTGGCTAGACCGTAGGCGGCTGAAGACTCAACAGGCCCGCAACGATAATATGCGGCTTAATAGCTAAAAACGAATGTACTTTTTCGTCCAAAAATAATAAAAGAATAAGACAGTGCCTCACCGATTTATTAATTTGCTTACAAATTAATTATTTTTTTAGCTGAATTAATTGAGTCAGAAACTAACAATTAACTTATAATTTTAGTAAATAAAGCATTTGTAAAGCTACCCTTATTATATAAAAAGCGACGCATTTGTCTAATAAATAAACTAAAGAATTAACTTTTATTATACTCTAGGCCTACCAACTCGGTGTTAAATACGCCAACTTTGACTGAAGATGCCGGCGAAATGTCTGGAAATGTACCAAATCACTTGTTCGATAGTGGAACTTATTGTGGCTATACTTGCAGAGCCATGTATCCCAGGGTCTCACTTACCCCCACCAAGTTTTTTAAAACTGAGTAAAACCAACTCAATCAACACTAAGAAACATTAAGTTTACTAAGGCTCGATTTATCCATAAGCCATAGTCAAGCCATAGTTATAACTAACATAGCCAATCTCCTTTTTCTGATCAAGTTCTATCAAGCCCTCTTGCCTTGCATTTGCATTGGATAGATAATAAAAATAAATATGAAATAAATTATATTTGCAACATTTATCAAACTTATTTTGTTACCCAGTATAACCCCGCTGAAATGATTTTATGTGGAAGAGTAAGCACTCAGGGGTTTGTGAGTATGGTTTTGCTGTTCGATTCCATCAGGGAGACATTTATTCGTATTATAATTAAAACTACATTCTGAAAATAAATGCAACCAGTCTTGGGAAGTTATAATTAGGTTTTGATATGAAATCCTGGGCCTCGCTTTTTAGAAAAGAGAGAGGAACTGATTTTTGCGATGCAAGAAAAAAATTTCACACTACAGAATTTTATATAGGAAAATACCTAACCTTCTTTAAAATTCACTAAGCCAACCGCATTTGTGGCAGTGTAGCATAGAGGTTGACGTTTCGAAATTATACGCTGTATTAGTAGGGCTCGAGTCCCGCTGTAGGTGCTGATGATACCTATGTGAGTTCGAAGCTGCAGTCCATCCTGGATGAGAATACCTTTTGGAAGCAAGGCTATGTAAACGGAATGAAAACGTAATTCCTACTCCTACTATTGTGGGAAAATTCAACTAGCAGTTCTCCATCACCTTAAGCTAAATATGGTAATACATCACAAATATGAGCTACTTGAAATCTTGAACTCCTAACTATGAAGGTCACGGAAAGAAATCATGATCATTTATAGGGAGTAAACTTCCAAGATATTATTTTATCTAACTTAGGTCCCACTACAAGTATTTCGTATTTTTTAAATTCGGTTTAATTTTATGCAACTTTGTCTTTCCTGAATGATAACCGAGCGAGATGCTCACAGCAAACAAATTCGTTTATATAATTATTGACAGTGATGAAGATTTCTTTAGTCCTTTCAATCAACTTCAAAACAATATCTTTGAGCTATATCTGTCTATAGTCAACTCTTCTGGATGGTTTTCAAATTTTGTATACACTAGTACAAATATATGAAAAGCTAAGAGAATAAAATCTCTAAAAGTATTTTCAAGGAATTAATGCTCTTCTAACCAATCTTTAAAATGTTTCCATAGCGAATGCCTAATGATTTAAATGATTCCTCAAGTGTGCTAGATATAATAACTCTAGTCCAGTAAAGACCATAATTCATACAGATAAAAGGTGAATTGTCGAAAGAACGCATGAGAATATATAATAATAAAATTTTAGTGATGAGGGTAACCGAATAAAGCACACGATCCCCAAAAGGGTATGCAATAAAATTTAGGAGATGAGAGGTAAGGTTTATAATACTTAGAAAAATTATTGATAGGAATATTGAATTAGAGAGAGTATGGAGACATAAATGACCAGAAAGCAAAGAATAGAATTTGAGATAGAAGTGCACAATTTTTCCCTCGATTGATGTAGTTAATATAATCAATAATATATTGTACCAGACGTTGCAAATTAAATTAATTCTCGTCACAAAATTCCAGTCATTGAATGCAAACTAATTAAATTCCATTCAGGAATTTGGAAACGGGTTTAATAACACCCGTATAAACCTAGCTCATCTACATGCACAAATGATGACAACTTCATCAGCTAGCTAATAATTATCAAAAAGAGAGTTATAAGAAGTCTTTTAGCTTATAGCCATCTCCCATTTTAGTTTTGGGGCTGCGTAAAGTTTTTTTGATAGCTAGCTATATCCCTGATGATATCAATATTATGGTAGAGAACTCGGCAAGAATTCACCGAGACTTAAGTAGTGTGAGCAAATGACTATTACATTTGAATAAAAAATTCATTCTTTGGTTCCTCGTATGTATACCATACGTAACCCTTCGATCTAGCGTTAAGCATGAAAAGAATCTTCTTACTCTAAGTTTGGATAAAGTAGAAAACCCTTTCAATTATTTTCCATTCGAGATTAAATCTAAACTAGTAAAAACTGTAAACAAATGGTTCACGCAAGTTTATCCTAGGGTTACTCTAAAGAAGCTCAATTTGAAGCCCTTCTTTAGGAGAAGGCCAAATCACACTGATTTAATG